AAGTTGGCCTCTATAGCAAAGATACATACACTAAGATCCCTCCAAACATTCCTTTGGAATTCTTTTTTCCATGGCTTCTCAGAGGCCTTCTGAGAGCATCCAGTTTTAAGATGTCTGCCTCCAGTATTCTCATTCATGGAACAAACTTCTCTGTCACATTGACTTTCCCACAAGGTTCTTTTTGTCTTTCCCACTAGATTATAAGTTCCAAAAGGACAGGAACCATTTTGGCCAAATTCTAGTAATCTCAAGTGTCTAGCACAGTGCCTGGCACACAGGAAATGCTCAACAAATGTGGAAGAAAGAAATGGAGAATGAATGAGTGAAAAAGTGAACAAGTCAGTGAGTAAATCACGGTCTCTATCCCTCCTCCCTAACATTACCTTTGGCAACAAGGGCAGTATAGCCGGAGTTCTGCCCTGGGCATGTTCAGGGTGCATGTTCAGCTCATGCCTCCTACTCAAAGGGTCTGTCTCCACCCACAAATCCTGCCAGATGAGTGGCAAGCCTCATGATCCCACCCCACAGCCACAGCGTAAAGGACCAGGCAGGGACAGCCCCCTGATCAGAGTGGGGCCCATTCTTAGCCTGGCAATGACCTATGACTTGGGTGGCCTTTCTTGAAAAGATGTGTCAGTTCACTCAGATGGTCTCTCTCAGGACTTTGAACAAACCAACACAGAGAGAAGATTCAGAGGATGCTTGAACCACAAAGTCATGCCAGGTTGAGGTGGGTGGCATGCTGGGGCCACTGTTATAGTGTTCTCAGAATATGAGAGTTATGAGGGTGAGGAGAGAAAGGAGAACAGAGCTGGAAGGTTTAGAGCACGGCAGGGAAGCCGGGAGGAGAGAGGCAGTGGTTTCCAGGGCTCCTCAGTCCAAGGCCCTTCCAGAGGCCTGGATTTCTGTTTGATTTCTCCTGATGCTTAAAATACACCACTTCTCCTCCTCACATACACATACACACCACGCACCTTTTAAGTGAACTGCTTTGAGTTCTCACTTCTTCCCAGTAAGAAGAGCTTGCGCTGCAAGGGACTCAAGCACCCACTGCCCACGGCAAATCTGTCCATCTCACTGTGGGCCAGCTCTGTCCAGGGTCCTGGGTTGCAGCAGCATCACCTGCATCCCTGGACCAGGGAGAGGTCTCAAACTCATCCATATTCCCCAATCAAGATGTGGAAGAGACCCCTTCTGACTTTTGCAGAGCCTGTTACAGATTGAATTGTGCCCCTCCCCACCAAACAAAAGGTGTGTTAAGAGTCCTAGCCCTCAGGAGCTCAGAATGAAACCCTATTTGGGCATAGTGTCCACTGAGGTAATAAAGTTAAGATGAGGTCATTAGGGTGGGCCCTAATGCAATATGACTGTTGTCCTTATTAAAAGGGAACATTTGGAGAGAGACACACACACAGGAAGATCTTGTGTGTGTCTCTCTCTCTAAATTTTTAAAATTATCTTCTTATAGGTGACACAGCTGCACAAAAAATTCACTGCTCACAGGATGAAGTCCAAACTAATAAGCTTGGCACACAAAGCCCTTCACAATCTGGCTATAATCTACCTCTCCAAGAATTTTTTTTTTCTAATTACACACTTCCACTAAAACCAAAGCAGACTATTTACCTATTTATTGTTTGTCCCCAGTGCTGCACACATGTCAACCTCCTGTCTTTGCCTATGATGTTCCTCCTCCCACGTCCTCCTAGTGTTGTGCAAAGAGCCTGGTGTCTGAAGTCAACAGAATTTAAGGCCCAGCCCAAGTAATTTCAAGTTATGTCAACTCTAGAACCTGTAAGATGAGAATAACAATAGATGTTCTGAAGCCAAGCAAAGATACTGCATGAGAATGGGACTTATAAACCATAAAATAGTACACTTACTCTTGTAAGGCCTGACTGTCCTGAACCTGGCATTAGGGTGCGTTACCCTCGGTCTCTCTCAGCTACGGAACTGTTAAGTAACCCCCTTGTCCTCAGTCGCTAACTTTCGTTGACCCAGTCTCATCATTACTATGTGCTTTTTTATGCATTACCCCATTCAATCCTCGCAACAATCTCGGGAGATCCATATTATCATTATGACCCCTACTTCATAGATGAGGAAACAAGTCCAGATTTGAACTCACAGCCCAAGCCTCTGAACTTACGCATATCTCCTCAAAGGCTGTGTCTTTTTTTACATCATAGCTACGTTGTCTTGTCTGTGTAAACTCCTCTCCCCACCCGAAGGTCCTCTCTGCACCTCGAATGCATCACATTTTAAGGCTCCATCAAGGAGGTAAAGAGAGCCTGACCAGGGATCTACATGAGGGTCCCTCTGGCTGCCCGCCAGACAGTAAGATGAAAAAGAAGCCAAGTAGTTCTGGTAATGAAGCTGCCCCCAGAAAAGCCAGCCCTCCAGAAAAACAGACACCAGAAGCCCTTGTCAATTAGGCCAGAGGAAGGGTGGCTAAACACTACCCGTACCGAAGAGGAAACCAAATGGGAAAGCCAAGCTCAGGTTTCCCTTGAGTCAGGCTGGCTGGGACTCCGGAGATACTCCAAGAACCCCCTAATCCTTTACATGGCTCTCACTCCTTTTCTTTCTCCAAGCCCCTGTACGCGTTATCTCAAATGTGCTTGAAAAGAACGCCTTGAGATAGAAAAGTATTTGTATCTAGACTTGCAATGTGCAAATTAGAGCACAAACCTGTCTGCAAATAGTGATGGTGTCAGAACTAGAACTCAGACTTCTTACTCTCAGGCCACTGCTCTTTCTTCTAGGTGATTCCAGTTCCCTGTCTCACCATAACCTAAGCCTTGCTTTTCCCTTCCATCTACCCATCATCTGCAGAGGAGGGCTGGAGCTTTACCTTCCCTACTTCTGACATTCATCTGCAGAGGAAAAGAAACCCCTTGATGAGTAGACACCTGCTAAGTGCTCTCTGGCTCCCCCAAAGGTCACAGACATTTTGACCTCCTCCCTAAAATAGAATTTTCATAGGTAGGCGTGAAAAACGTCAGTTATACCATCAGAAGAAGCCTCTGGGCCGAGGGCCTGACAGAGTTCCTGGTCACTGAGCACACAGGTGGGATTTCCTCTGCTAGGGAGGGTGAGAACCCGAGTCTATCCCACCCTCTGATGTCATGTCCTGAACTGGGCCCCCATGCAGAGGATAAAGTCTAAAAGTAATCATTGATAACATTGAGTGAGGATTTATACAATTGTCATTCTAGGCACTTTATGTGATTAACCCGTTTCATCCTCCCACAACCCTGGGAAGCAGATGTGGTTATCACCCCCATTACACAGACAAGGAAACTGAGGCCTGGAGAGAGTAAGTAACTTGTGTAAGTCACAGGGCTGGGAAGCTTTGGAAGCTGAAACCCAAGAGCAGGCACCAGAGCCCATGACCTTCACACCACAGCGGAAACGCACTGCAGCCCTTCGGATGGAGGGTGGGTCTTCCACCACACGCAGTCTCCCCCATTAACTGCCCTAGTTACCCTGGACCACCAATACCATCCCTTGTCTGCCACCCAGGCACCTTTGCTCTTCTGTCTAGTCAGTCTCCTTCCACGCTGGTTTCAGCATAAATCTCATGTCCCTCCTCTGCTCAGAAGTCCTCTGTGGCTCCCCATTGCCAACATGGAAAAAGTCTCAACTTCTTCGCCTGTCATTCACAGCCTTCTAAAATGTGGCTTCAACTTACTCCAACTTACTCCCTTCAATGCATCTTCCCCTCAAGGCAAAAGGAGTTACAGCTCCTCTCTCCTGGATATGCTCTTTTTACCTCCGATACTCCCTTCATGTCCAGCTTTCATCTCCTAGACTCCATTGGTCCCTCCACCTATAATGGCCTGCTCCATTTATCAGTACCCATCTTCCCCTGAGAAAGGTTTCAGCCTGATATCCCCAGTTGGAAGGGCCAGAGTTAGAAAGGCTTTGTAGTTCAAAAGTTATCGAGTCTAGTTCAAACTTCCCATTTTATAGATGGGGAAACTGAGCCCCCTTGAGGGCACGGATTATTATTTGTTCTCTGGATAGGGACCATTATCTTAAAACACTCCATGGTGCCTGGAGACTAGTGAATGGATGCATAAAGCATTGAGACCTCCAGGGCAGCGTCCTTCCAGCAGTAGCCTTGGGAGCCCCCTATCGGATCACTCTTGGTCTTCCAACATCTGACCTGTTCAATCCTCATCTCCGAGGGTGGTGCCTCCTCTCTGCCTGAGTAGCAAGCCACAGAGTGGTTTTTAAATTCACACGTATTTGAAACCCACAGGCAATCTATCGGGATTGCACCACCAGTGCCACTGAGTAGAAAGAGTCCCAGTACCTGAAGCCTCCCTTCCCCCAGCCACCACTTCCGCCCCCGAGCTTGAGGCAGAGGCCTCTGGGCGCTTAGGTGGCTGAAGCTGAGGAGCGAGGCTGGCTTCTTGGAGATCCCCACATAACCTGGCAGGAGCTTTTTCTCTCCGGAGGGTCTCTGGGGCTGAGCGGAGGATCCTGCCCTCCAGCGCTATGCCCCAAGCCTGCACTGCCCTCCGGACGCTCTGCCAAATCAGGGGTCATCTGACCCAGAAGGAACAGGCAGGGGAAGCAGGCAGATGGGTGTCGCTTCGGACAGGCATTCTGGGCCACGCAAGACCCAGCCAGGAGAGGGAAGGATGCTCCCTCTAAGAGGTCAAGTCTCCAGATGAGGTGAGGGAGTCCTGGGAAAGCCGGAGCCCAACACACAGAGCTAGGCTGCCAAGTGTTCTGCTGGCCCCGTCTAAGAAACGCTAAGTGTTTGGAGACAGGAGGCAGCCCCCGTGGGGAGCAGGAGAGGGAGCAGGCTGGGCACGGCTGCTGGGTGGGGTGCCCACCTTCTCTTCCCCTGCCTCCCCGCTCCCGCCCAGCTGGCCCTACAGCAGGCTGAGTCAGTGCTCTGCGCCACTGGCCCCACAGCATCTTCCTGTGTGGTCCTCTGGCCACCTGCCCTTCTCTCTGTTGAGGACCCCCATGCCCACACCTACCCACGCCGTGTCGCTCCTTGTCAGTTTTACGCCAGGGGGCCATGGCTGGGCCGGGGGTCCTGCAAGCACCTCGCGTTGTCCTGAGGGGAAGCAGCCAGGGGGTGGCTAGGCGCTCTGCCGGGCCCCACTTCCTTCCTCTTTTCAAACTCTCTCTCAGGGCCCGCCCTCCCCGAGGCGCCCCGCTCCTCCTCCTCCTTCCCTTTGGGCAGGGGCACAGCAGAAGGCTAGTGGCTAGAAAGCCAGAAGGCCACCCCGCAAATTTTGGGGACCACCCCCAACTTGTGTCCTCCCCAGGCAAGACAACAGAGGCCAAGCAGGTACCTGGGGTCACACGGGCCATCATCACAAGTGCAGGAAGTTCCCTGGTAACTGACACTAGTGATTAAACAGAGCTCCCTCCCACCTAGCTGGACCTTTGGTGTCAGATGTGGGTTCAAACGATGCTTGACAGCTATGCAACTAGGATATTTTTCTAAGCTTCAGTTTTCTCATCTGTAAAACGGGATACTAGTACCTACTTCACATGATTAATGTAAGAATTAGAGAAGACAATGCATGCAGCAGGTGACACATAAGAGTTACTGTGAGTATTCAAGGAAATAATGCACACAGTAGTTAACATATGAGTTAGATACCCACCTGGAGGGGAGGTCATTTGGGGTTTTTATCTTTCTGATGTCACAGACCCATTTGAAAATCTGATAGAAGCTCAGGAAACTCTCCCCTAAAAATATACAAGCACAGAGTTTACCAACAATGCCAGGAGGTCGAGGGTGCTCTAACAGCCAGCAACAGTGGACCCTGGGAAGGAAGTCCTAGAGTTAGGCTAATAGAGACATTTCTCAGAAAATGCTCTGGGAACAGATTCTATCAAGGAGCAAAAATATCTTTTTTGACCCACGGTGATAAGACTGAATTAAAGTCTTCCTGAATTTTCTCTCTTTATTCCTAAGTCTCACTACCCCCTTCTGCCTTACACTGGAGAGTCAGTAAGACAGGTCAGGCAGTGTCACAGCTGACAGGCAGCTATGGCAGACTATTAACTTCATTTTATCTAAAGTTATTTCCTTTTCAGTTTTCTAGCAGCAGAAATTGGATAGTATTTTTTTTATAGAAAGCATTTGAATCAGTCAGGATTCCACCAGAAAAACAGAACCCGCAGGATGTGTATGTGTATCGACTGATTGATTGATTGGCTGCAAGGAACTGGTTTAGGTGACTGTGGAGCTGGCGAGGTACGTCTGAAATAATAGGGCAATTTTCCTTTAGGAAGTGCAGGCTGGAAACTCTCAGGCAGGAGCTGAAGCTGCTGTCCACAGGTAGAATTTCTTCCTTTTCAAGGAAAGCACGGTCAAAGCCTTTCTACAGACTGGATCCTGCCTTCTCAGATAATCTCGCTGAGGATAATCTCCTTCACATAAAACCAACAAGTTGTAGGTGTTAAGCACGTCCACAAAACGCTGCGACAGAAACACCCAAGTTGGTGTTTGGTTGAATAATTAGGGTCTATACTCTTATCAAGTTGACTCATAAAACTAACCATCGGCGGTATTATAAATTGGACTAAACATTAGAGGTTGGCAAACTTTTTCTGGAAAAGATCAGATAGTTAATATTCCAGTCTTTGCAGGCCAAGAGGCAAAATCAAGGATATTATGGAGGTACTCACATAACAAGAGAGAAAACAAGGCTTCCACAATTTTCGTTGATGAAATTCAAAATCTGACACAGGTAATTGAGTATATTCTTTTGTGATACGGGTCTAGTAATGAGAAAAATTAATTTGGGGGGATAGATCACATTTCACTTCTTTAGAGTTCAAAGTTAATGCCCTCTTCCATCAAAACTGGCTGCAAATATTCACCTGTTAATGCTAATCTGTAATGAAATTTTACATTTCATCTTTGAAAATGCCTTTTCCCACAGGTGGTGTGTAGTAAAGAATCAATCTTTCCCCAGAAGGGGTCTGGTATTTGTCCTGAGCTACTGGGAAGTGATCATTTGGAATGTCATGGTTTGCCTGGGGACCTGGGTCACAGTGAACAGTCCAAAAATACGGTTCAGGCTGGGCGCTGCCCATGCCAGGAAGACCAACAGTATAATGTAGGTGGGGGCTTTGGGCTACATGAGATCAGTTGCCCTGGAGGTTGAGATCAACCATGGGGGTAAAGTCTTGCTTATATGATAGAGCCCCAATAAAAACTCTGGACACCAAGGTTTGGGTGAGCTTTCCTGGTCAACAATACTCTACACATATTGCCACACATTGATGCCTGGAAAGTAAAGCGTCCTGACCGCAGCCTGACTCCACGTGGGGAGGACAACAAAAACGTTTGGCACTTCCCTGGACTCTGCTCAATGTACATCTTCCCTTGGTTGAGTTAACACTCCATCCTTTTGCAGTAAAAAGCGGTAACTGAGCATAACAATTTCAGCGAGTTCTGTGAGTCCTCCTAGGGGATTACTGACCCCAAAGGCAGTTTGGGAAACTTGCAATTGGTGTCAGAAGTGAGGATGGTCTTGTGGGGACGGTGGGCTCTTTAAATTTTATAGTTGACTAACTCTCACAGATGGCTGACACTTTCAAAGGAAAGTACTGTCAAATACCAGTATCAGTCCATGAACATAAGATTTTATTAAGCATTTTCATTGCTCAGAAGGCATTTATAAAACTCTATTAAATATTCTCTTGATGTTTGCCTTTTAGCACACCATTTGTTATGTTGATGGATGTGGAACTGTTGAATGGAGTCTCCTTAACTGCACAGTTAAATGGATTTGAAATTTAAAAATAACTTTTACACTTGTGTTGAGGTCTGAAAAATTGCTGGAACTGTAGTTTGAGCCTGGAAAGTATGTTCACTGAAATTTGTGTAGGAATGGAGATTTCACTTTTGTTTTACTTTTTAACAGCACAGGCAGTTTCTAAAGCTGCTTGATATTGCTTGCAATTTAAACATTTAGCTGTTACTTTATCACAGTATTCTGCATATAACTATTGTTTTGATTTTTAATTTTGGTTGACTCCATTAAGAAACAGTATGAAGTCTGGAGCAACAGCTAATTTCCAAAGTCATCCAGTGTTCAGTACTAGTGGTTGAGGGCTATTCTTGTTAAGAAAAAATTTTTTAACATTTTTTATTGATTTATAATCATTTTACAATGTTGTGTCAAATTCCAGTGTTCAGCACAATTTATCAGTCATTCATGGCCATATACACACTCATTGTTACATTTTTTTCTCTGTGAGTTATCATAACATTTTGTGTATATCTCCCTGTGTTATACAGTGTAATCTTGTTTATCTATTCTACAATTTTGAAATCCCAGTCTGTCCCTTCCCACCCTCCACCCCCCTGGTAACCACAAGTCTGTATTCTCTGTCTGTGAGTCTATTTCTGTCCTGTATTTACGCTTTGTTTTTGTTTGTTTGTTTGTTTTTGGTTTTGTTTTTTAGATTCCACATATGAGCAATCTCATATGGTATTTTTCTTTCTCTTACTGGCTTACTTCACTTAGAATGACATTCTCCAGGAGCATCCATGTTGCTGCAAATGGCATTATGTTGTCGGTTTTTATGGCTGAGTAGTATTCCATTGTATAAATATACCACATCTTCTTTATCCAGTCACCTGTTGATGGACATTTAGGCTGTTTCCATGTTTTGGCTATTGTAAATAGTGCTGCTATGAACACTGGGGTGCAGGTGTCATCCTGAAGTAGATTTCCTTCTGGATACAAATTTTCAATCTTGACCCGGAGCTCAAAAAGTCACAGATGGCTTATTACTGTCAAGCCATCAAATAGCTATGTAGTTGATAGGACAGGTCAGAACATTCAGCTTCTGTTTTTGACAAAAGTTCACAAAACAAACAGTTGTTCAGTCCAGAAGAGCTAATGATCACCTTCGACACAACGGATTCAGTAACACATAATAGATTCAAATATTTTCCACAAAGTACCTTCTGATGAATATTATAATACATTAGCATAGGCTTTAAACACTTTACATTTTCACAAGCTTTGTAAGTTTGTCCAAAAAGCCTTTTTCTGCTCCACACATATTTTTATCAACAGTTATAACACATTTTAGCAGATTCCACTTCAGATTGTACTGAGTTAGTGTTTCCTCGTTTTCTCTGAAAATATTTTTGACCAGTTTTTTCCACATGGACTCTTCATAGAAGCTAATTTTTTCATTCACTTGAAACTCAGCATGGACTCGTCAAATAAACAACAATGGAGCTGTGCTAGTAACACCTGCCAACTTATCAAGAGCCAAGGAAAACCATCAGAAATCATCTGCCACAGTTTTAAATTGATTATCGATGTTGCCTCCTACATCCTCAACTCTTGAAGCAATGACTGCCACCAGAAGGCGGGCAGCCTTAAACTACTTTATTTTCTCTGGCTACCTTTCCTCTGCTGCTACAATCAAAACTAACTTAATCATACCACCATCAAGAAATGCCTTTCCTTGGGTGTTTAATAAATGAGCCACCTGGACACTTACACCGATTGCAGTCTCATTTTCATTTTTTATTTTTAATGGAGAAATGGTGCTAATAGGAGATGTTGTTTTGAAGATTCCAATTTTTCCGGCCATTCCTTTCCTGCAGTTGATGAGTGCTTACTCCGTTATTCTGTTTTATTTCAGCACAGCTGTGGGATCACTGTATAACAAGCACAATGCTTTCCTGTTTAATTCTGTTTAATAATCTACACTCCACTGTGCCTTAGAAGTGTGACATTTGAATCCCACTATTCTTTTCTTTTCCTGTTTTGTTTTGTTTTGACATTATGGCCATTATGCTGGTAAATAAAATAAAATAAAATAAAACAAAATAAAATAAAATTAAATTAAATTAAATCTGTATTGCTGTACAGTGGAATGCATGCCACTTGGAACACTATGGCATTATAACCGCATCCCTGAGAGTTGCAGGTTGCCAAACAGCAATGCAAAGCAACGAGAGTACCACAGACAATCTTTGTTGCAAGTCCTCAGCTCCACCACTGCAGCATGAAAGCCACCACAGACGATATGTAAATGAAAGAGAATGCCTGTATTCCAATAAAACTTTATTCATTTATAGACAATGCACAATGGTATTTCACATAATTTGCACACATCATGAAATATTATTCT